AACACAGAACTGAAACAAGGAAAGAGAAGGAGGGAGGGGGAGGGGGGGGGGGGGGGGGGGGGGGGGGGGGGGGGGGGGGGCTGTACAGAACAGAAGCAATGAGGCGCTAAGGAAAGGAGGGAGGTGTCGCCAAGAAAGACCTGCAAAGCTTCAACACAACCAAAGCTAAGCTTCTGAGTTATCCCTTTAAAGAGGACGCAGTTATCGATCTTTAGTGTTAAACTTTAACGTTATCCGCAGCCAGTCCGGGACTTCATCAAACATTGAACGTTTTTCCAGCTGCTTCAGAAAGAGCAGCACAAACTCACCGCCGGCCCGCGCTAATAACAGAGGAGGACACTCAGAGGCCCAAGCATGAAAGTGTCTGTCGCTGCAGAACCCCCCCCCTCACTTCCCCCGGTCATACTGCAGCTCGGAGCTCCTCAGTTCTTCTCTTTAATAACCAGAGTTATAACTGGACCCGGTCGACAAGCAGAGGGGTTAGTCACAGTTTAAAGTGGTCAGTCTGTCGCCGGCCTGGAGGAGCAGAGGGAGTCCACATCTATAATTCATCAGCCTGGCTGCCAGTTAGACCTGAGACCGTACACACAAGCGTAAACATCTTACTTTTAAAATATGTCTTTCTAATTAAACGACAGTTTTTCTTGTCATAAGAAGACAGTTTTGACTAATTGTACTTAAAAGAAGTTTCGATGCAGATTTTGGTTTTGTCAAAAAAAATAGAAGGTATTCTTCTTATATTGTTTAATATTGTGAAATCTGGGCAAATATAAGTAAAAAAACAAACAAACAAAAAAAAAACAACAAAGTGTTCGTGTATGCTCAGTATTGTCTACCTGGCCGAAGTAACCAACATTAAAAGTTATTTTTCTCATCATTTTTTTTCCGTCTGTGGTTGAATTGAAAGAGGGAAAAAGCTTCGTTTTGTCATCTAAACTTGGTGTAACATGAGATAAAATAAAAGCAGTAGTAATGACAAGAATGTGCCTTCCTCTTCAATTTATTACCAAACATAAGCAGAAAATTCTACCTTAGGAAATTATGCTTCAGTAATATTTAGCATCCAGGGTCATAGTGAAAAAAGAAAATCTGCCTCCGAGGAACAAACCACACATTTCACGCTGTCGTTATTTACTGAATAAAAGGTTTTCTTTTGATAGTTTCTTGCTTGAGAAACTTGCTTGCTCGAGGTCCAGTCACGGTATTTCAATTCGGCTGAGTTGTGGACTTTGACTGGGACATTGCAGCACATAAATTTGCTGCTATGTGTCCAGTTGATAAACCATCTTGAGTCAAGTTTGTTGCAACTGCAGAAAAAAGACTGTTATTCACTGAACTACTAAGTTAAACTTTAAATTATTGTTAATACAATAATCAAACTGCAAAGGTCTTCCATTGTATGCACAAATCATCCATCGATCCGTCTTGGGTAAATTCAACAAAGTGCGTCGACCGGCCGCAACGTCTTCTGAGCACATTTACTTAATAAACATTCATAACACAATCATCTCCACAAAAATATCCTCCTCCAGCTTCAAATGACTTTCAACGGAAACGTAAGAGCTTAAAAAAAACCCCAACCCAGTCTCAAACTCAGTTGGGGTTGAATGAAAACAAATGAAAGCAGCAGAGGGTTCGGCTCAGGAGGCCCAGGCGTCAGCCGTGTCCGTTGGCCTGGTTCTGCTCGTGTGGGCTGAGGTCAGGTTGGACCTCTTCTTTTGGCAAAAGACCCCAACTCCTGAGCAGGGCGAGGCGCTGAGCCGGGGGAGTGGAGAAGTACTCCCTCTGTCTCTCCGAGTAGGTCTGTCGCCCGGGGACGATGTCTCGGTAACTCCAGTCCTAGTGGTAAAGAGAAATTGTAAAATGTGATCGTTTAAAAAAAAAAAAAACAAGAAAAAAAAAAAAGGCTTAGAATAATCTAACGTTTATTTTATTTGGAATGTACCGAGCTTAATTGCTGTTAGAGTAAGGCTACAGAGGATTATGCCAAGTGTATCGTCTCGGTCAGGGATTATGACATTGTTGCTGATTAATTTCTAATGTCTGGTTCATCTTTTAGGCACCCACGTTTTAAAAACTTTCAGCAAATATATATTTTTTTAAGAATAAAAAAAAATAATTTTTTAAAAAAATATTCTTTATTTATTCTCAGAATCTCCAGCAAACAGGAGAAACTCCAGAGTTTCAGAGAAGGCGAAACTGTCACATGACTGCTCTTTGATCAAAAGGTTATCTGTCTGAAGTGGTTTGGATTAAGACAGATTTTTTTTTTTTTTTTGGTGTGTGTGTGTGTGTGTGTGTCTATAAGATAGCTTGTGCACCTGCCAGTGGAAGTTAAAGGCCTCCAGCAGCTTGATTCTGTCTCCTCTGGAAGCAACGCAGTCCGGAGGATCGGGCCGCACCAGCTCAGAGCCCACCGTCACATCCTCAAACACCAGCAGGGCCCGGATGGCAAACCAGCCGCCGAAGCTCGGATGAATGCAAACTCCAAACATCTTCTGCCGAACAAACAGACGAAACAGATGAAACTTGAGGTGGAGAAACAGCGACAACAACAAATGTTCCTTTTTTTTTTTTTTTTTTTCTTTGTTTTTGTTTTGACGAACAAATCGACGGCATTACTCTTCCGGCCCAGGGCTGGTCTGCGACATCAGACTGCTGGTAGTAGAACGCCGCTCCAGACACGTGTGCAGCGGTCTGCGCCAAGAACTTTGGCTTCCTGCTTGGCAGCAGCTCGTAGTCGAACCTCACGTCCACCTTCAGTTCTGGAAAACTCTGTGGGAGAGAAGGAGACGATATTTAGAGGTCCTGAACAAGTCGGGGATGACAAGAGCGAGCCGGTATAAATTTGCGAAACGCAGAACCAGAGACAAAGTGTCAACATCTCCATCAAACAGTAGATAACCTGTCTGCGTCAGTGCCTGTAGGTCTTTAAGACAAAAGTTTGTAATGATGCAGGGAGGCTGTTGGAGAACATTAGTGAAGAAACGGCATCACGGAGGACAAGAAACACAGCAAACAGATCAGTGTGCAGAGACGAAAACGTGTCATGTTTAGAAGACATCAAAACTGAGCTCTTTGTGTGATGGAAAACTAGCACCAAACATTGATTTGAACATGTTATTCCCACAGGTGAAACACAGTGGAGGCACCATCATGCTGTGGGAAGCTGTTTCTTCCTCAGGTGCAGGGAAGACGGTTAGAATCCTATTGTGAGTGGCAAAAAGAACTAAGACTAAGGTGAAAGTTCACCTACTAGCAAAACAATAAAATGCGCTTAACTTTCTGTGTGTAAGGCAACAGAAAAAGTATTCATCCTACTAAAAATGCTTTAGTAGGATGAATACTTTTGCCAGGCAATGAGTCATGATCAGAGTCAGTCTGGAAAAATATAACCTGGCCTGTAAGCTGTGAGTTTCTGCAATAAATAGTCGTAATATCTAATATAATGTAATAACCAGATTACTGTATCTGTCAGAGTGCTTTACTTCTACTCTCACCTGTGAGACTGCAGTGGAGACACAGTGCCGGACACATTGGTCTATCGGGTCGGATGGCTTCTGAATGCTGCTGTGCTCCAAGAAGGGCAGGAAGGCTTGTTCAAACATAGCAGGAGTGCTGAGCACCACCACGGCCAAGGCATCATCTGGGTAAGGCAGGTGAAAGGAAGGAGGCAACACTGAGTTATACCAGCCTACCTACAAACACGGAGGAACAAAAACTCCGATAAGAGCAAGCAAGGGAGGAAAATGTGAACAATTTTCACGTAGAGCCAATTTGCTTCAAATTAGCTTTACATGAAGCAAAAATATAAAGAAGAATTAAGTAAAACTAAACATTGATTCAAATTAGAAGCTAGTTCAACTAATCGGGACGCTACCATACCTTTAGAGGGTACACTTCAAACCCTAGTTTAGTTAAACAGCTGCCTAATGGTCCTATTACACCCTCCACACTGGCAGAGGAAGCCGCCATTGTTGCGTTGGTAACGCGCGGCATTGAATTGTGGGATATGGTGTTCTTTTGCGAGCCATATCGACGACTTACGCCACGTTTCCGGTTTATTCTGCTATCGTTTGTGTGAAATACAGTGACAAAAATTATAAAATACGTCGCGTTGTGTATTCACCGAGTTACTGTTGGAATGTTTGTTTTTTTATTCATAAAGTAACTTGTGAACAACAATACCCACAAATTCTAGCTGCTTTTACGCTCCTCAGGAACTACGTAGTGGTTAGGTGTTTCAATTTTTTTTCTCCACAAATTGCGGCGCCCCCTTCTGGGGGAAAGTAGGCACTACGGTTTGACTGGGAGTCAGAAATCAACCAAACTCGTGTGGTAAGTAAAAACTTAATCTAAAGGGTTACGTCTTTCACGTATTCTGCAGGTCCTATCTAGATAATTTACACTGTAAGTTATGCTATGTTTTTGGAGCAGGTGAATCTTGTTTTGAATATCAAGTGAGCGCTCTACGAACATTATGAGGTGTGTTTTGGTGGAACTGAAAGCAAATTTACAAGTGTGCTATAACAGATATCTTCATGTAGCAGCTGCTGTTTTGTAAAGTGACAGAATCCGCTATAAAGCTGGAGAGGGAATAACATAAGAGGAACAGACTGAAAAAGTACAAATTATTCCCCTTTTTGTCTTTGAATCCTCAAATTTTACTTCTAAATTATTTTCATAATTGTTCCCTTTTGTCAAAATTGTATTTTAAAAATGTTTTGTATATTTTTAAGCCAAATTTGCTAATACTGTATTTTATGATGGCAAAAGCAAATTATATCACAAGTACTATTAATCTATTTAAAAAACTGACAAGGCCACAGCTAGGACCTTGATAACACTTTCAAGACATTTAGTATTGGTTTTATGCAATGCTATGGTGAAGGTTGGCCAGCAGGTGTCGCCAGAGCTCAGGATATTTCATAAATACGGCTGATGAGTAACTGTATCAATACCTATATTTCACGATAGGTGTGTGTGTGATTGCGAATGTCGTCTTCAAGATATGTCACTGAAGTTTTGGCAAAATGAAGAACCGCCTTCAAGACGAAAACTTGACGCTCCGAAGTCAGAACAGTGTTGTTTCCCTCCACACTGGGGTTTCAGACAGCGTGTCCTCTCTACAGCAATTATATATTAATTTATCACTAATATATTTATATGTCATACTTTTCCAGTGCAATATAGTACTAAAATCATATTTCATATGTTCAGGTACCCTATGTGCGAATGAAGTTATTAATAATGAGCGATTAGATGAAAACATCCAGCAATTCAATTGAATTCATGACGATTTCCTCAGGTTCTGGGTGAAGCCTTCATGGATCTTATTTGATTTTGTATAGCTTTGAAATAAACTAATAAAATAGATAAACTAGGAGTTTTTTCTGGATTCTAAGTTTGTTCTAATTCCTGCTCTGGGTTGAGTGAAGTATCCTCTGGATCACTTTGTTCTAGCTACTAGGTTTGACTCCTGGTCTGGGTTGAGTGAAGCTGTTGCTGTCATCAATCAGGGAAGGGTTACACTTCCAAACGAAATGAAGTCCGCCACTCTGCAAAAGATTTTTCACAAATACTCTAAGAATGTAACGAAAAAAGAGCTGCTTGCCATTGCAGTTGCTCAGTTTCCACTTTTGGGGAACTTATTTTTAGATTATGTTAATCAGTTAATCAGTAATTCTTAGCAGCTTCATAAACAGAAAACGGCACCAAATCGCCAAAGAATTTCCCTGCTTACAGCTAATAAACTATATGGGGCGATTTATTTCTCACTTCCTCCTTATCATACGCTAAAGTGGAGCTATTTCCGGTCCCTGCAATAAATGACTTTTAGATAAAGGGTGGTGGAACTGTATTATCTCATGCATAAGTAATTTCACTTTGCAGAAACATCCATCAGACAGAGAGAGGCTGCGTCCTGAGTGGCGGGGTCCAACACGGACACGCAGACTTGCATTGAACACGGAACACGTGGCACTGGTGCTGCAGGAAGAGCGAGCGAGAGAGAGAGAGAGCAACTACAGCGACCCTCCTTCCTTCAGTCCCTCCAGCCACGCGTTCACTGCCAGGAGCTCCTGCTGCCGCTGGTGACCAGACACGATCAGACCCGCTTCAGACACCCAGCCGCCCGGTTCCGACTACATTCACTGGAGGAAAGTCTTCCATCGGACCGCGAACGAGACAGAGCGGGAGGTCCTACCAGAGACATTTTCACAGGAAACGATACTCAACTCCGTCTGCTTTCTTTCTGAAGAGATGATGATGAAGATCGAGATGATGGAGGCCAAACTCTTGTTTGCTCTTTGTGCGCTTTTGCTCGTTAACATGAGGTCCGCTGGTGAAGGTATGTATTTTCTTATTTATTTTTATTTTTGCTTTATTGTTCAAATAGTGTCTGCTGTTTTACTAAGTTACCGTCAGGGGCGCCTCTAGAAAGTTTTGGGGCCCCAAGAACAATCCTGGGGTGGCACACCAAAAAAACCTTAAAACACAACAGAGTGTCATTACGTGTAGCTAATTACGCTCTTTAGTTGCACTTTTAACTTTTAAGACTAACATGTTTTGGACCTGATGTCATTTGAGGAGAAGCAGACATTCAGCTTTTCTTCTATGAAGGACTAAAGAGAAAATAACAGAATAGAACTAGTTTGAAAAATAGAAAAACAAACCATGAAAGTGTGGAAACTTGTGCTTGATTTGTTAGATTTGAATAAAGAAATATCATGTAAATGTGACCATTCTGTTGAAGTTAATGTATTTATTTTAATAAATAACTAAACGCTACAGTTCTCCAAAACTCGTCAATTGCTCTCTTACGTTCATGTTATTATTATAAAACTGCAAATGTCCCTGATCCACCCACTGCTTCCTCCCTGCATCACATTAGACGACACGCTTCTCGCCGTCGCCAAATATGTCAACATAACAATAACGGTCCTTCAGTTGTCATCACCCCCTTTTCACAGAGTCAGCTTTAAAAAAATAAAATAAAGTGATCGCATTTAACCTGACGAGTGACACAAATGATTAAACACATTCATAATTATTTCAACCTTTATACATAAGTACTCAAATGGGAAATTTATTACTGTATGGGTTGAAAACCCTCGACACACCACAGTCTAAAGTGAGCTTCTACAAGCTTCGCTTCGCTTCCACCCTGCTTTCATGGCTGCAACGCTCCATCCTCGTCTGCCTACCTTCTACCTTCCTCTTCCTTTTTCGGGTTACACGTCTCGCACATCCTGTGTACATCTCTCAGACCGCATTCTGTTTTCAGTCCTACCTGTTTCAAACCGCTTTGTCTATTTTTTGTTGTTGTTGTCGTCGTTTTTTTTTTCTGTCGTCTCCTCCCACATGAAAAGAGAAAATGAGCCTCTGACATTTGAAAAGGTTCTCATTGGCCCGAGCTGTCTACCTAAACGGACAGAAACCAGCGGGACTCCGCCGGAGCGTGTTTATTGGATGTAATTGACGAGAGGAAGAACATCGTGATAAATGACACGTCTAATTATGCGCAGCAGCACAATGCCAATTTACGCACTTTGTGCTAATTGGCTTGCCTCTGTGGTGCAGCTGACTTTATGCAGAGCATTAAAGCTGCTTACTGTGGAAGGAAGAGGAAAAAAAAGTGGCATTTAATTAACTTTCTCTGTGAAAATCTCCACAGCATACTCTTGACCTTTGTGACCTCTGGAATCTTTCTTGTAATTTCTTTTTTTTATACACAGAGCTAATAGGAAAAAAAATACTTCCACTGATACAG